GATAAGGTTGGCTAAGGCTATGTCAATTTTATTTAATCTTTCAAAGAATGAATGCTTTGATTCATTGAGCCTTTATATTATTTTCTTAGTCTCAATTGCATTAATTCCTGCTTTGGTCTTTATAATTTCCTCCCTCATATACAGTTTGAGTTTAACTTGCTCTTTTTCTTTTCTAGAAACTTGAGGTTCAACATTAGGTTGTTTATTTGAGTTCCCTCTGTTTCTCTGATACGGGAATTCACTGCTACAGATGTCCCTCATAAGAAACTATTTTACTGAATACCATAAGTTCTGGTGTGTTGTATTTTCATTATCAGTTGTAGAATATGCCTAATTTCTTTAATTTCATCTGTAGCCCATTGGTTTTCAGGAGGGTGTTGTTTGATTTCCACATGTTTATGAAGTTTTTGTGGTTTCTTTTGCTGTTATTTCCAGTTTCATGGCACTATGTTCTGGTAGTGTGCATGGGATAATTTCAGTTCCTTTGCATTTACTTAAGCATGTTGTCTCGTTTGGAGAACTTCCCATGTTCAGCTGAGAAGAATGTGTACTCAGATGTTGTAGGGTGGAACACTCTGTAGACATTTACTAAGTCTATTTGTTTAAAAGTTTGGTTCAGTTCTGATATTTCTTTGTCTATTTTTTTTTTTGCCTAGTTGATCTGTCCATTTGTAACAATGGGGTATTGAGGGTCCCCCATTATAATTGTATTAGTACTTATTTGACTTTTAATGTCCATTAGTATTTGTTTTATATAGTTGGGTGTGCTGGTAATTGGTGCATATACATTTACGATTGTTCTCTTACTCTTAGATTGTTCTCTCTACAAGGATGTAGTGACCTTCTCTGTCTCTCTTACTCTTGGTTTGAAATGTACTTTGTCTACAAATAGAATATCTACCCCTGCTTTTTTCCGGGTCCCTGTAGCATGGAGTACTTTTTTCCATCCTTTGACATCAGTCTGTGAGTTTCTTTTTGGGTTAAATCTGTTTCTTGTATGCAGCATATTGTTTGATCTTGCTTTTTGATCCATTCTGCCAATGTGTTTCTTTTGCTTGGTGAATTGAGACCATTTACTTTCATTGTTATAACTGATATATATTGACTTTTCACTTTCATATTATTTGCTTGTTTTTCATTCTTTTTTTTTTTTTTAATTCCCCCCAGTTTAATTACTTGCCTTGCCTGGTGGATTCATTCTGTTGTGGTTCATTGAGTTGTAGTCCTCATTATCTTTCTAGAAGTCCTTCTGAACTTTTTTGGACTGCTGGTTTAGTAGTTATGAATTTCCTCAGATGCTTTTTGCCATGGAAGTATCTTATCTCTCCATTAGTTTTGAAAGATAGTTTTGCAAGGTACATCAGTCTGGACTGGAGGTTGTTTTCTTTTAGGGGTTTAAATACTTCACTCCAAGCTGTCCTGGACTTACGGGCTTGTATTTGAGCAGTCTGCTGTGATTCTGATAGGCTTTCCTTTATAGGTGATGGGCTTCTTTTCTCTAACAGTTTTTTATATCTCCTCTTCTGTTAAATTTTTGGAATCTTGACCATTATATTTCTTGGTGTAGCTTTTTATTTTGATCATGTTTAATTGGAGTTTTTTATGTCAGATTCCTTCTTCATGTTTGGGAAGCTTCCTGCCATCACTTATATGAAAAGGTTTTTTTTATTTCATTTGCACTGTGTCCTGCTTTTTCATTGACTCTGATCAGTCCATTTTATTCTTTGCACCATCCGCAGCTGTTGGATTGAATTTACATGGTCCCTTGCTGGTTTTAAGAAATCTTTCTTTTTGTGATTGCTAACCACAAGCCTGTCTTCTATATCAGAGATTCTGTCCTCACATTGGCTCATTCTGCTTTGTATACTTTCAATGGAATTTTTAATCTCACAGATAACTCTTTGAATCTGTTTCATAGATTCCATACAGTGTCCTTTATTGTGGTTACCATCTCTGTAGTTATCTGAGAAATTATTTCTGATTTTTTTTTCCTTGAGCTTCATTTCTCTGCTTTGTTACTTCTGCTGTTACCTTCTTAGAGAGTCTAAGTGGGTGGTTTTTGAATTGTTCCACCTCATCGCCCCTAGGTTTACCTTTGGCCAGCTTGAAGTTGGGGGTTGTATGTTGCTTCCATGTCTTGCTTTCTGGGTTTTTTTTTTTTTTTTCTTTTAGTTTAAATCCTCGCTTGATGCCTATAAATTGCTTATGTTAGGTAGCTTTATTGTTAGTATTGAGCACCCTTAGGAAATGACTGCTTCTCAGAGATGTCTTCCAAGTGTTACTGGCTTTGGGTTTTGAGTCTGTTGTAAGATCCTACCTCTTCAATTTATTGAGGACGAGGAGTTGCTGCCTATTTGGCCTAGCCACTGATTCTTTGGCACTGGCCTAGAGTATTGTGTATGACTATCAGGCAATCTCAGTCTTGGCATACCAGGAAGAACAGTTTTTTAGAACAATTATGTAACCTTAGCTACAGTCATACCCTCAGTAATAACAGTAGCATCAAACACTGCCTAGAAAATGACAAACTGTGGTAACTTGTAATTTACCACCTTTTATCATATGAGGTATATTTGTGGTTATATAACAAAATCTAAAACAAAGAATTGTATACAGTAAATATACCCTCACTATCTCAATTTTACTCTCAAGTGAGAAAATTTAAGAGGCATTAGAGAAAAAAAATACAGAAATAGAAGAAGAGGAAGGGATTAGATGCAAGGCTGGAAGACAAAGGAAGATTATGCAAACTTTGGGACTCTGGTGAAGATGAGAGAGAGAGAAAAGGATGAAATAAAAGGAACAGAATAACAACAAAAAACTAGAGACAGTGTTCAGAGTCATATAAACCAAAGTAATCAAGAAAAAAAAAAAAAAAAAAAGTCTCACTTCAGCATGTATCTCTGAGCATTGTGGTGCATGCCTGTAATCCCAGCACTTCAGAGGCTAAAGCAGGAGGATCTCTGCAAGTTTGAGGCCAGCCTGGGCTACCCAAGGAAGTCAAAGCCAACCTGAAACAAAAAAGGAAAACCCGGCCCAAAAAAAAAAAAAAAAGAGCTTGTCTGTGCTGTCACTTGTAGACAGTATAAGTAGACAGAGCCCAGATCATGTTGATTAACCCCAGCAAGCCAGCTACAGATTTACAGCAGGGTAGTAAATTCCAGCAAAACTCACCTTTAGTTCCATTGAAGTTCAGGCTGTTTTTTGATTGGAAAATTAGAACCTGAATTGTTCTTCGTGCAACACTCCTGTCTTCTGCTGGGTTGAACTTGGCTCCTTGACTTCTTGCCATCTTGAACTCAGTTCTACCTCACCCTGACACTGGGACCTGCTAGATGGATCCAGCCAACAGCTGGTCTCAGTTCTGAGCTCAGTTGGTCCTTCTCCAAGATGGCAACCGGCCAGTGACCCTCTGCTTGGGGAAGTCACCCGCCACTGCAGTCCACTGCACCCACTGCTCTGTTCCATGGGTGCATTTCTCTGGGATCAGGAGCAGTCACTATGCATCTGGAAGTTTGAGCTGCCCCTCCCACACAGCGAGACAGGACACAGGGAGAAAGTGCCTCTTGCCTCCTTCTTCTGCACTGAGGTCTTTCTCATCACTTTCCCCGAATTCCCACTTCAGACCCTTCCTGGGTGTGTCCTGGGAACCCGCTTTCCTCTTTCTCTTCCTCTTGTTGCTGTATTCCAGCATCTGAACACCAGATCTTGGAAGGGCTGTTTCTCTGCTGTTCACCACACTGCCATCTTCCCAGAAGTGTCTACCTTGACTTCTAAGAAGTTTCTGTTATCAAAACTGGCTTATTTCTGAGGCAGTTATTTTCTGTTTGTCTTAATATTATTTTACTTTCCAGTATTTTCAGTTTTTATCTTAATAGACCTATTTCGTATATGTTCTCCTAAGTTCCATTTTGGCAGTTTCTCTTTGGAAGTAGGCAGGATATGAATAACAAAAACAAGCCTCAGTTTCATTTCTGTAAAATGATGATAAACCCTTCACTGATAACCTTAAGATCACAGTATACTTCTGATGCACTTGTTATTCATAACTAATCTTTATAACTTTACTATATTGATTATGAATTACCTATATTTTTTTACCCTCTGCAGGAAAAACTGTATTTTGGCTGATGAGATGGGCTTAGGGAAAACCATTCAGTCCATCACATTCCTTTCAGAAATATTCCTCAGGGGGATCCATGGCCCTTTTCTCATCATTGCACCTCTCTCTACTATCACCAACTGGGAGAGGGAGTTCCGGACATGGACAGAGATGAATGCCATTGTGTACCACGGCAGCCAGATCAGCAGGCAAATGATCCAGCAGTATGAGATGGTGTACAGGGATGCACAGGTGAGCCTCACATCTGTCAGACTGACTCAGCGATTGCCTGAGCTCAGAGTAGCCTTTGTTCCACTTATCTTCAGGGGTTTCAGAGCCCTAGGTTACTGTAGACTGATCTTGTGGAGTCATGTTTGTTGAGGCTGAGTTTTGCTCTTCCCTCTTGGTTTATCTTAATTCATGATAAAGCACAGAATTTAAGGGTATGCTTTCTCATCTTTCTGAAATATACCAGAAATCTTTTTTTAGGATACTGAAAGCTTAGTTTATTGGTTAAGCTTATAAAGTTACTTTTATATACAAAAGATTTTATATGAATTGTTGTCTGATCAGTGAAGGAAGTGAGAAGAATTACTGTACAGGGGTACGTTCCTGTCCAGGGATTTTGAAAAGAAGGGAAACAGGAGAAAATAAAGAAAAACCAGGTTTCATATTGTTAAAAGCAGAAGAGAACTTAAGTTTTCGATACATGTCATCACTTTGCTGAATATGGTTATGTGCTTGTCCTAGACCAGTAAGAATTAAATTATCCCACTCAGAGGAAAGCTGTGTGCTCTCTCCAGGGGTTTCATAGATAGCAGAGACATTTGGAAGACATCATGCTCTGGCATGATGTAACTCTGCTCTTAAAATGTGATGGCAGCACTGGCACTGGTTAGGAAACAAAGGTATGTTCTCTCCAGGAGCATTTGCCTTGGGTGAATTGGGATCATTACTTTGTATGCTAAAATCTGAGTTATAAGATTAAATTATTTGAAAATTGTTTTTGTAACAAAAAGATGAAGTTAATTAAATTGGAAAAGCAGCAGAGAGTTCCTTGGGCATTCAATCCATGGATAATTTGGGCCAACTCCTCGCCAGGGATGAAACCTGTATCAACCCCATCTACTTTGCTTATTATGGCAATTAATAAATGAAAGGAGCTCTGGGGATGGGAGGATTAAGATGTGATATGTATATGCACCCATACTCCACAAGGAATATATTCATTATGTATCACAAACATAAACTAGAAAAAAAAGAAATGGAAATAAAAAGTTCCTGTGCTGTGCCTTTGGTATCCATCTTACCTGTGCGTGCACGCACACCCATGTGTGCAGTAGTGGGGTTTGAATATAAAACTTTCTCATTGACCTATGTCCCCACCACACCCCTTCTTTGCTGGTGCAAGGTCTTGCTAATTCACTAAATCGCCCCTCTCCCCCGGGCTCGAATGTGCATCCTTCCTGCTTCTTCCTTCACTCCTCTCAAGAGTGCTGCTACTATAGGCCTGCACCACCAAGCCACTTGCTCTTTCTTTCCTGTTTCATGGATGCTATGTAGTCTGTCTTTTCTAAGTACTGTAGCTGGTCATTGCTGTATTCCTGCTTTCTCAAATTAATAGTCCTACCTTCTGTGATCTGCCAAGTAATCTATTAATCATAATATAAATCTGTGCCTTTGATTGTGTCATCCCCAGGGAAATCCCCTTTCAGGAGTTTTCAAGTTCCATGTCGTCATCACAACATTTGAGATGATCCTGGCAGATTGCCCAGAGTTGAAGAAGATTCACTGGAGCTGTGTGATAATTGATGAGGCACACAGATTGAAGAATAGGAATTGCAAACTTCTAGAGGGGTTAAAGCTTATGGCCCTGGTGAGAGCTAGGTTTTTACGTTAATAATCATAGATAACTTCTATTTAGGGAAGTGTTCCTGAGCCATTCCGCATGTTACTTACTTATATGTAGCCCTTTTGGCCTGTTCTCAAAAGAACTCAGGGAACTCTCACATACCGTGGAATTTGTGACCTGAAAACTTAATGTTTAGATGTTTCTGGGTATTGACTTGGAACAGTGTCCAGTATGTGGTCGGTAGCCACACAATCATTTTGAGTGAATGAGTGGATGGTAAAATTCCATTAGTATTAGAATCAGTGGTGTGAAAGTTAATCTGTCTAATGACTATACCTCTGTGAGTGTTAGGACCCTGCCTTTTCATCAGAGCAGAATAAAATTGTTCAAATTGAACACAGAAGGCCTGTGCTTAGTTTTCCCCACTGAAATGTACTGTTTTGGTGGCTCAAACATTTTCATCATTTGCGCTTAATTTACGCAGGAACATAAAGTGCTACTCACCGGAACACCCTTACAAAACTCTGTGGAAGAGCTGTTCAGTTTGCTAAATTTTCTGGAGCCAACACAGTTTCCTTCAGAGACTGCATTCTTGGAGGAGTTTGGAGATCTGAAAACAGAGGAACAGGTAATTAGGAGCCTGAAGGATTGAAGATTATGTGAGGGTCACTTCCATATCCAGGAAAGAGCAACGGAAAGATTTAGCAAGTTCTCACATCTCTGCTAAAATGAGCATTGCCTTCTTCATTTTATTTATTTGTTTATGTTGGAGAAGGCCACTTGATTGTTCCTAGTTAGTCAGCACCCAGAATATCTTAGAGTTAGCATATTAGATCTCCTGCTTCACTGAACTCACCTGTACATTAGTGATTTTGCTTATAAGTCTGGCCTCAAGAACATGGTCCTTTCTTCTGCTTCCTTCATTCTTCATCCTATATAATCTGCTGCATGTTCCCAGGCCCTTCTTCTTGATTACAACACAATATATGGGCAGGAAAGCAAACAAGGCGGTCAAATAACTAAATTGTTAATTAGTTCCATTTTGTCCACATGAACTGAATTTCCTGTTTTTAAGGTCCAGTTGTAGGTCTAATTTGTTGGACTTAAAGCCAATTCAGGACTACCAATATTAATAAATATCAATGTAGTATGAGTAGAAATCTCTACTAGGGATTATGGAAATAAGCCAGAAAAGTTTAAATGCCATATGAGGAACAAATACCAGAGTTGGGGGCTTTAAAAGAGGGAAAAGTCACATCTGTTTGAAAATCAGGGAAGACATCAGGGAGAGAATATAATTTAAAAATGCATTTTGTTGGACAAGTAAGCTTTCAACTGGTGAAGAGAGAAGAGGTGGTGACTACTTTGCACAGGAAATAAGCCCAGTATAATTTGAGCTATAGAATGTACTCAGTAGTGAGGAGTCATCTGGTTGAGTTAAAAAATATGGTAAAAGAACAGGGAAGTATGTAAGGCCAGTGGGGTTTACAACTGTATTGTAGAAAGATAGGTTTAAGAATCAGTAGGCATTAATAGAGAAGCTATGCAAGGCTTTTATTGCTGGAGTAATATAATTAGTTCTGCTAAATTAATCTAGCAGTAGTGCAGAAATGGGTTGGATAGAGAGAATTTGGGGACTGGGTAGGTTTGGGAATGTTACTAACAGGTGTCAGGGGTACACTCTTTGGTTCCAGTCTGTTTCTTTCTACTTGTGGTACAAGTCAGACTTTGAGAACAGTGAATAACCAAACGTCATTCCCGTCCTCTGTGTTTGCAGTATCTCTTGAGCCTTCAAAAGCCAGCCCCAACCCTCTCTTCATTTTTGGACCATTGAAAATGCATCCTTTTCTCCCCTTGCACTTAATTTTTGGTATGCATCTTTTCTTCTTCCTAGACAATGATCTCCTTGAGGACAAGGCCCACATCTTCTCCAAAGTTGTGTTTGTTGTATTGACCAGCACAGTGTCTGGCATATAGTATACTCTAAATGATTCAAGGTACGAACCAAGTGAAGGGCAAAAGTTGAACCCAGCATGTGGCAGATTGACATTTATCCCTATCTTTAACAATTAGCTAGCTGTGTTTTCGTCTTTGGGCTCTTACATAGTAATTCCTTACTCACTGGGGGATTAAATTCCTAAGTACCCTTGATTAGTAAAATCAAGGTCTCATAAGTTAGTTAGAAAATTTGGGTTAGTTAGAAGAAAATCATAAAAGTGGCATCAAATGTCTTGTTTGCTTTTTAAAAATTTTCTCAAAATATATATTGTAACTGACAAAACTTACATATATTTATTGGGTATACCATGATGTTTTGAAATATGTATACACAGTAGAATGGCTAAATAGAGCTACTTAACATAGCATTACTTTGCCTACTTACTTTTGTGGTGGGAACACTCAAATTCACTCTCACGTGATCTTCAGGAACACAGCACATAACTGTAGTCACCATATTGCATAGTAGATCTCTTGAACTTATTCCTTGTAACTGAAATTTTGTATTCTTTGATCAGTGTTTCCCCAAAACCCATACCCCATCTGTCTCTGCTAACCACCATTCTACTCTCTACTTCTATGAAACTTCTATATTTTAAAACACAGTAAATACAAGTGCTAGAAACCATCTGTTTCCAGAGTAGAGCATATTTGTCATTGTCCAAAGCCTACTCCAGTAAGCACCTCTCCTAAATCACAAATCACTCTGTGTCGTGTTACATTGCTTCAGGAAGCACTGTTGCAGTGCATTCTCTCTATCCCTTTTACATTTTTGGAACAGCCTTTTCTGACTCGAAACTTGTACTTTTGTTTTTCCTTTATTTTCAAATCAGGATTAATCTTAACTAGTTTTAGCCCAAGGTTAACTTCGGTGTATTAACCTTGAATTCTTTGCCCTTTCATTGTCTTCCTGCGTGAGGGAACAAGACACCGTGCTGGTGCAGTGAAGTGAGCGGAGGTGTCTGTGCAGGCCTGGGCTCTTAGGAGAATAAACAGATCACAGTACGGAAACATTACCAAGCTTGAAGTGTCTCTGATGTGACAGCTGCCATTATGGCATGGAAGATGTCACTGTACAACATGTTTTCTTTACACACTGCAACTCTCAGACACATATGCTGTTGCTGAGATTGGGCTCTACTTTCAGATTGCCTCTACTTCTTCCTCTGTTCTTTCACAATCTAAGTCTCCCCTTTGTGATATATCATTTGTACCTCCTAACAAGGCTTAAAATGTTCTTCAGTTAATTCTTTGCATGCATATGTGTTAGAGAAAGAATCAAAGAGGTTTGTTTTCTCCATCCTAGAGAATGAATAATGTCTTCTTTCTTTCTCCTTTTTTATCTTATGAGATTACCACATAGGTTCTTGGTAATTTGTGAGTTCAAGCTAGAGCCCTTTCTCCTATCTTGTACTGTTGTAAACTCTCCATTTTCAGGGATCAGTCATGCTTTCTTTTAATCCACTGTCATCCAAATAAGTAGCTATTCAGGAGACTATAGTGAAGATTGGAATACTCCCCGTAATCATTCTGTCAGGATTGGGGCAGGTAAATAGATACGGTTTCCCTGAACAGGTGAAGAAATTGCAATCTATCCTAAAACCAATGATGCTTCGACGCCTGAAAGATGATGTGGAAAAGAACCTTGCTCCTAAACAAGAGACCATCATTGAAGTAGAATTGACCAATATCCAGAAAAAGTACTACCGAGCTATCCTGGAGAAAAATTTTTCCTTCCTGACTAAGGGGGCAAATCAGCACAACATGCCCAATCTTATCAACACCATGATGGAGCTGAGAAAGTGCTGTAACCATCCCTACTTGATCAATGGTGAGTCGGGGCAGTAAGGAGTAACTCAGGGCTGGTGTGGACCTCTGTCAAAAGCAGTGATAATCGAAGACGTCATATAGTAAGTTTTTGTTAAAAGCTAGAACATATATTTCCTCACCTTTTTTACACAGTATAAGACTGAGGTTTAGAGAAGTTGATGGATTTGCATATATAATCTACCTAATAAATACTGTACACAGAGCCAAGTTTGAAACTTATTTCAAATTCTCTGCCTCTGCCTGGCAAAAGGTGGATAATACTCCGCATTTTGCTACTCTTTATTTACTCACAGTCTGGCCCACACTTTGCATCTGTGGCCAGAGAAATTTATTACTTCATTGAATAAATGAAAATGCTGCAATGAGATTATACGCTACAGTTAAATTAATGGTTACACATAGTAGAGATGATGTTAGGAGAGTTTCTTTCAGTGAAACTTCCAGAGAAATGTTTAAATTAAAATGTGACTTGGCTTCTCTTACAGCTAGTTTTGTGATTGCAGAAAGTAGGAAGGTCTTTATCGTCAGTTTGCTGAGATTTCTTTACCTGGATGAATCAGCTTAGGATTCGTCATTTTAATGCTTAGCAAAGTACCTTCATTCGCAATGAGGTGAAGTAGAAAATCCTGCCATGATGAGCTCTCTGCCAAGTGGTAGGCTAGGGATGCATACCCATTATCTCTTCCCTGAACTGCAGGTACTGGACCTAAGAATTCATATTTGTAAAACAGAGCTTTTATCTTTGTATTTTGTTAAATGAAGAGTTTTGTTCCATTCCTTTCCAGGAGCAGAGGAAAAAATTCTGGAAGATTTCCGAAAAACTCACAGTCCTGATGCTCCTGACTTTCAGCTGCAGGCCATGATCCAGGCAGCCGGGAAGCTGGTGCTGATTGATAAACTGCTTCCTAAGCTGATTGCAGGTGGCCACAAAGTGCTCATCTTCTCCCAGATGGTGCGCTGCCTTGATATCCTCGAAGATTATCTCATCCAGAGAAGGTGAGACTTACGTCAGATCTCTGCACCCAGCACCCAGCACTGTCAGTTCCTTTACTGTGGTATCTTTTTCATCCATTCATGTTATGCTTTAGCAGCAACAAGACATTCAAATATGGAGGAAGGGAATCTCTTCAAGATCAATTAAAATTCAGAATTGATTTTATGACCAAGTATACTGAAGTTTTAACTATCTGAAGTAAATTTCATAGCCAATAAAGTGGAGTCCTTGTTTTGCTAAAGTCCAAATGTTTATTTAAATTCACTTCAGTTGTAAGGAACAAAATAAATATAGCAATGGAAAAGGTTAAGAAAATAATGTAGTTACATTTTTGTTGCTTAACAATGAAAAAGAAACACATGCTAGAAGGCATCACTAATTCAAATTTCTGAAAGCACATACGCTAACAACTCGGAGAAAAAATTTTCTGTCCTTTCTCATCAAACTCTGTAAGGTTTTATGATACACTGTATATGACATCCTAATTTAGTTTCTTGTTCATATTCATATAAGTCCCTGAAGCTGAACTGTGTTACTCATGCAGATGAAAAGTGTATGGATGTGGGTTATTTGGACTCCATGGGAACTACATTTGCTATACACCATACCTTAGATTTTAAGTTATTACAGTACATCAACAATCTGAAGATAACAAAAAAGATTTTTCAAGATCATAAAAACTAATTGCTAGGCATTGCTAAGTTTAAGGAAAATCTTTGTTTTCAAATAATAAAATTACAGCAAATCGCAGGCATGTTAACAGATTTTCTTATCCTTTAAGAGTCCATTCCCTCTTATAAATTAACATGTTCTTTTTCTGTAAAGGACATGAAGAATTTAACTGTGTGCATGCCTATACTTAATGTTACATAAATAATGCTTCCAAGTCTGATTAGACAAGAGAAGGATTTTTCAGAGCTGTATGGTAGAGATATGCATGTAGAGAATGATTGAGACCTGTGATTTTTCTTGGAGGAAGCTACTATGAGTAAATCAAAACTGGCAGAGCAGTTTTATAGTTTATAAATTCACTATAGAGCAGAAACTCATTAAAAAATCACTTCTTATTAATATTGTAGCCTTTAAAATTTAAAGAACTAATAATTTGCAGGAATTTTTTTAAAACAAGCCCTCCAAAATGAGTAACTCTACCCAAAATAAATATCAGACGTTTGGTAAGTAGAGAGGACTTTCTTAGGTCCCTTTTTTGCTATTTTTGGCTGTGTTGTTTATTACAATTTTGTGTTCAAAGTAAACATTACAATTTCTTTTAAAAATGTGGAAACATTTACCACTACCACCTGTAGAAATTCCTGTTCGTGCTTGGTGCTTATCCTTTTAATCTTCTTTTATTCGTACATATGTATGCTTAGTTTATTGTTTGTTTCAGTTGCTATAGTCTGTAGTCCACTGTGTAATTCATTTTTTATTTAATATGCTATGGATTTTTGTTCTTTTTCTACAACAAAATCTTGGTGGTCTACATGATACTCCTACAGGTTTTGTTTTGTTTTGGTTTGGTTTTTCCATTTTTCAGCATTTTAAGGGAGTTTAAATGAATATCCCTTCATGGTCATTGTGAATGTTCCCAGTTATTTCCTTTTGATGTATGTTTTCACATAAATTTGATACATATTTCCAAAATGTCCTCTAGTAAGAGTGTTTTACTTAAATCTTTTCAACTCTATATGAGAATGCTTTTTTCCATACTCTGATCAATATTCTTTCTGTCCCTTAATCTGCTAATTCAGTAAACCAAAGTTATGGTCTCTTCTTTAAATTTGTATTTTTGACTACTAATGAGGATGGCTTTTTTTCATATTTATTAACTATTCATATTTATTTTTGTACATATTGATTGCTTTTTCATGTTCTTCCTATATTTCCTGTTGTTTTTTGGCTTTTATTTATTAATTTATGAGAATTATTTACTTAAGATTATGTTGCAAACACTTTTCCCAGAGTTGCTTTTGCCTTTTTAATTTTGTTTTGGGTATGGGTTTTTGTTTTATTTTTAGAAATTCTAAATTTCACAGTAGTCACACATTAGTCCTAAAGTCTCTGTTTAAATTTTTTCTGCTTAATTCTAAGCCTAAGTACTGAAATTAATATGCTTTAAAAGTTTCCTTCACCTCTCAACCATGAGATCATAAAAGTATTTTGTTCTTTTTTCTCTTTCATGGTTTTCTCACTCCAGCTACACCCAACAGGGTTCTTTCATATTACGACAATGTCTCTCTCTCCCTCCTTCCATCCCTCCCGCCCTTTCAGGACCTTTGCACTGAGCCACATGCCCAGCCCTTTTTACTTTCTATTTTGAGACAGGGTCTCACTAAGTTGTTCAGTTACCCAGGCTGGCCTGGAATTTCCCATCCTCTTGCCTCAGCCTCCCATTGTGCTGGGATTACAGCCATGCATTACCATATCCAGCTATTACTTTTCTCTTTTTAATAAACTTTATTTTCATTAGAGTTATACATGCATATAATTTTAAAAGTTCTGTTAGACTTTTGAAAAAGTCTATTTTCTAATATATCATCCCCTTCCTCCAGTTTCCAAATGCCAGAAATACTTTGAACTCTTTATGGTCTTTCCTTGCTATTTATAGGTCTGTCTAAATAATGTTATTATGTGGAATTTCTTGATATTTTTTAGTTTTAGGAATTTTGTTCTCTGACTCTGGAAGATCAGTTTTTAGTCTCCCTTCACTGCCCCTCATAATCATTGTGTATGTAACTTCCTGTCCTCATCTTCCCAGTACACTGTGTTATGTTTTGAGTTAGGTTAATATTCTGGGTTTGCTATGATTTGTATTAAATTACATCTTAACTATGTTACATGCTGCTTACTTTTTGTTTTCTCTGAAGGTAAAAACTATCCTATTATTTGTTTGTTTTTCTATATACTTACAATAATTCAGGTGCAAACTGTGTCCTGCTTGTGTAAATCTCCTCTTGCTGTGTCCCAGCACATCAGCCTCAGGGCCACATCTCCTGGAACCTCTGGACCTGTCTGCGCTGGCCTGTTCTTCCTTCCTAGCACGTGGAGGTCATTGACCTGCCTTCTTGCATCCTGCTGACAAATTCCTTTCTTTTCCTTTTGATTCAGATCTCCTTCAGTAGATCCATGTTGGACCACCTCTTCTAGGAGAGTCTGAGCAAGGGTAAATGAGAGATGAATTTTGAGACATTGTCTGAAAATGTTTTTAGGCTGTCATCATTCTTGGTTAGTAGTTTGGTTGGAATACAGATTCTATAGAGATTCTAGGTTACAAATTCTTTCTCTACAAAATTTTGAAGGTGTTTACTGCCTTCTACTGTCAGAATTGTTGTAGACAAGTTCAAAGGCCTTCAAATTCCTGTGCTATGTATGTGTTCTGGTTTTTCTTTTTAGAATCTTTGATATATTTTCTTTGTCCCTAGTCCTGTGAAATTTTACAATGACCTGCTTCACTGTACTGGATATTAAACAGATCTTTCCCACTTGAAATCCAGGTCCTTTTATTCAATTCTGGAGAATTTCCTCAAATTTATTTTTCATTGTTTCTTGTTGCTATTGTTTTCTTTGTGGAACTCCTGTTAGTGATATGTCAGATCTTCTGGACTGACCACCTAATTTTCCCTTTTCTCTCTTTTCTGTCTCGTTATTTCTCTCCTTACCTTTTGGTGGAATTTGTTTACTTTATCTTCCAGTTTAAACCCTTAGGTTTTCTTTCCATAGTTACATTTTAAAATTCCTCAAAACATTTTCTTTTTTTTTTTTTCTTTTTTTATAGCACCAGTTATTTCAGTGTCTTCAGGTTAATCAGAATTTTTTTATCTGTGTCTGTTGAACTCGTCTTAATTTTTCATTTTTCTTTTTGTTTCTCTACATCTCTTTCTTTTATATTAGAATTCTAAGTCTACATTTTCCCCCCACCACTTACAAGTGTTTTCCACTGCGTTTTGGCCCCTGTGGTTTCTTACAAAAAAGCTCTGTAGTCACTCACCTCATCATTCTCCTGTGTGTAATGTGTTGGTTGACTCTGCTTCAGGTTTTTCTTGTCATTTTTAGTTTTTACCAGTTTGACTGTGATATCTGGAGTTCATCCTGAACTCTGAATTCCAGCCTCACTAAGTTTCTTAATTTTGTCAAATACATCTCTTTTTTCACATTTAGAGTGCTTTTGGTCACTATCGTTTGATTTCTTTTTGCCTCATTATCTTGTTTTTCTGTGGGACTCCAATCACCTGTGTAGGCATTTGACCTTTAGATATTGTTCCACAAGTCCATAGATTCTGGGTTTTTTAAATGCTTTTTTTATCTGTCATTTGTTGCAGTTGATCTGTCCTCAAATTTTTTGAGTTCTGTATCCTCTCCCTGATGCTGATTATGCCAACCTGTGCTTTATCTTAGAGATTGTATGTTTTTAGCTTGCAGATTTCCATTTGTTTCTTTAATTAGTTTTTTTTCATTCATTACTTGCATCCTTTTATTTCATTGAGTATAATTATAATAGTTGCTTTAAAGTTCTTGTCTGGACCGTAGAATTATAAGTTTGACATCTGTTGATTATCTTTTCTGTTGAGAATGGGTCGCATTTTCCTGCCCTACATATGTTACATAATGTCACATTTTTTCCCCTAGACATGTTGAATGCCATGTTGTGGAGATGTAGGATTTTTTTGGTATTGCGCTAAAGATGTTGATGGTTGTTTTTGGAGAGAGTTAACTGGGAGAAACTTTATCTAACTTTATTGATGTCCCTGGTTAGGTAGCAACTCCTGTCCCAATTCAGACGTTTTTTAGCTTGAAGATTTCCATTTGATTCTTTAATAACTTCTTTTTCCCCATTCATTACTTACATCTTTCCTTGCCCCAAGTAAGTATGAGTCGGAGATCTACCAGGGTGGAGTTTATATCCACAGTGTAGAGTGCTCTCCCTACCCCTCTTTCTGGGGATCTCTCTCTGGCATTCGTACTTGCTCAGGCTTCTTCCCCTGGTTCTCTTTCATGAGTAGTAACTGCCCTACACCTCTGCCTTCATAACTGCAACCTTCTCTCTAGCCCAAACCACAAGTTCTGTCCCTTTCCAAAATCTGCCTGCTCTTATTAACTTCCAGTGCCCTCGCTGAGTTTTTTTATACTCATTTATTGCTTTTGTATATATTTTGTGCAAATTTTTTATTTATTTGCTGGAGGGTTGATATGTTAGGACTTCATCTCTCCATAGCAGAAGCAGAGCCTCATGTATCAGATCAGGGGCTCTCTCAGGAGGTCTGGTGTCTTGAGCCATGAAATAGCGAGACACTATTGAATCAAAGTTCAGAGTATGTGACCTAGGCTTGTTCAGTGAGCTTCACTCTCCATAGGTGAGCACTGTTCACCTGGCTGAACCGTCTCATCGGGAACCCTCTTGTGTCATTATTTTTAGCTCTTATTTCTCTCCTCTGTCCTGCCTAGAGGGCAGAGACTTGACTGTGCTTTGCATTGGTGGGGGTGGGGGAGCCATTTCTCAATATTTTTCTCACCTCTTTTCTCCCTTTGATCTGTGGTTTGTAACTCCCAGGGTAAAGAAGATTAAGGTCCTTTATTTTACCTTCTTAACTGCTGTAATGGGTGATCTAAAGGGTAATTAATACTTCAACAAATATCCCACCACTTTCCCTGTGTTTAGACTCTTCACAGTCCCACTTTTAGCCACCCCAGTGGCACCAGTGTCAGATACCTTGAGATATTCTGCAGCATGGTTGTACTGTTTCTTCCCTTCTTCAACTAAATACCACTTGGCATGCTTTCTAGCTTCCAGAATGTTACCCCTTCTGTTCTCCTTTGTGGGTGTATTGTGAGGGTGGTGCATATTGCCTCTTATTTTACTAGAGGTTTGAGAAGATCCACAAATTTAATAGACATTTTAATTCACAATCCTTACCTGGCTTTCTTTGATTTATGTTTTCTCCTTTTAGTCTTCATTCCTTCTGTTATTTTGGTAAATGACATTAATAGAAGTTTCTTTTCTTTCCAAATATGTCTGCTTTCCCAATCTTCTGTTTACTGAAATAATCCTTCCCCCCACTGACATAAAATACTATTCATGAAATACACTGAGATACTATATATGCTGTGCATGTGTCTAGCCTTTCCATTCTTTTGATCAATACCTCTACACTTTTAATCACCTGTTATTCCAGATGAACTTTAGAATTATTCATTAAACCTGTCTCTGACCTCTGCAGCTCCTTTACTCCAGAAAAGTATGTTTATACACATTTACCTATCCATATAGATGGCTATCCATATGATGAGATTTCTATTAGCTCTTACTCATTAAACAGGGGAGGATTGCCATCCTTGCAAATTTAAGGAACATGCTACCATTATATCTACTCCAATCTTTTGTATACACAATTGAGTCAATATATATGAAGTACCTACCTTCTGCTAGGGCCCCTTTCAGTATTACAGACATAGTGGTTAAGAGGACACCATAGCTCCAAGTGTCATATTACTGAATCTGTATATTTCTTACCGAATTCAGTCCTAAGCTGGTTACATATTTGTGGCAGTTGTGAATGTAATTTTTCTCTCTCTCTCTCTCTCTCTCTCTCTCTCTCTCTGTTTTCCAGCTGGTTATTACTGGGAGACAAGAAAATTGTTCATTTCCCTTCAGGCCTTCTGAGGTCAATATTTCTTGTGCCAAAAATGTGGCACCCCACCCCCCTCCATCCTGCCTCCTGGCCAGTCCATGGAGGTTTTCCCGGAGTGCCACCTGCTTCTTGTTGAGATTTGACAGTAACTCTGAATTACAGTTTGATGAGCAGCAGTAATTCTTAGGGATCTCATTCAAATACAGTTGTCACAGAAGGTTAATTGTCATGCTGGAGTTTGGTGTGGAAAATTTTATGACGTCTGATTTCTTCATTCAGACTTAGTATCCCTCAAGGTTTTCTTTGTTCTTGAGCCTCTTTGCCTCTCCAGCTGTCAGTTTGGTTTTGTTCCCATTTGATTTCATGCCAGACTCATACGGTAATGAGGGCACAGCCCTCATTGGCTCAGAAGTGAGGGGGAATGGGGGATGGTTTGAGAGCTCATCTAATTCCATTTTTAGTTTTGTGTTCTTTGAGAGCATGCCCTCAAAACTAAACAAGTGATAGAAATGAGTGTTATTCTTCTAAACATCCTGCACAAGTTTCATTTCTTAAAACTATTGTTACATCATAGCTGGCAAAAACACTTAGCTAATTTTATGGGAATTTTTTCCCCTAGGTGATGCTCAAGCGACATTGTTACTATTTCTTGATTTCTCCTTCCCCAAAGGCCATGGTAATTCCCAGCTTCACTGTGATCCACAGGTCTCATTCTCCTCTCTGATGTCCAGGAGCATCAAGTCCTTTGTTCCTAGAGGATTGATCGTTCGTATGTGTGGGTCTGGAGGCAGCAACTGATATATTAACTATCAACTTTGTCTTCTCCAAATTTTGTGCTGCTTCTGCTGTATCACATACATAGCCAGACTTTAGGTAAATGATTACAGGGGGTCAGAGCACTGATTTACCAAAATCATTTTGGTATCTTGGTACAGCTTCTACTTCCTGTTAGGGTTACAAGTTTCCAAATTTTACTAGCGTCTCTTTAATTTTCTAAGTTTTTAAGAAAACATTTCTGTCCTATTGCACTGAAATGTAGGGTACTGTATGAAAGCCATCAGTCAAGTGGATCTGGGTTCAACTTAGCTGTTAGGTAACTGAGTGAGATATTTTACTAATGGCTTTTAGTTTTAGTTTTTAGTTCTCTCAAATGTAAGAAGGAGATAACAATAAAAATTTATAGAATAATAGTAAGAATTAAATGTGATAGTGTATATCAATGGCAAAATGGACACTTAGAATTTAGTCTGCTATTACTATTGTGGCTATTATAAATTGAATCTATATAATACATGTATTTAACCCTTAGCCTTCATCTTATAACAGAAAATCTTTTTAGCCTTTGTGATCGTCCTATCACTTCCACCTATTTCATTTTCTACTATAGTTCCCATAGAATATTGTTCTTGAACGTATCCTAATTTAAAAAGAAGAAACAAACAAACAAACAAACCGTAGTCATACTTCCAAGTATGGTTATATTGTGGCTTTTTAGAAGGAAGGCAGAAACTTACTCTTTTGTGTTATATGCCTTATAAGTGTAAGTTGCTCAGTTTTTCCTTGTTTATCAGAATTGAGCCCAGAGTAACATCCCCTTGTTCATTCGTTGGTTACCAGTGGATTATACAAGGAAAGATAAAAACAGTGAGCTAGGGAAGGACAGGATTGCTGTTATAATGTGGATATAACCAAGAGTACATATAATCTTGGATAGAGATCATGGGTAAATCCCATGATCTCTATCGTAAAGGTCGCTTCTGTGTTTTCTCTTGATGGACAGTAGTGATATATGTCCCTCACCATTTGATTTCCTAGTCTCTTTCCTCTTTCTCTTACCCCTGCCGTGCTACCCACCTCAGTTCTGAACTATTCACACAGATGTGTCCTTCTTCATGATGTTCAGCTTTACTCTCTCAACACTGTTTTCTTCTAAATGTTCTCCAGTCTCCCGACTTATAACATACCATAGACACTATTCCTACAGGCTTAGCCATATACTTCCCAAGAGACTGGTTTTAGGTATACACTCAGAGGTTTTGCTGGGTGTATATAAAGTTTTCAGGAATTGGTAGGCTAGAAATGACCAGCCCTTACATAAAAACACTACCTGGCAGTGTAGTCTTCTTATCACTCTTAGTTACCCTGAACAGCTGGAGACTGACGTGAACTGAGTTCTTGTTACGAGTTCTGCTCACAGTAGTAGTTGAGGCTTGTATTTGCTTTTTCTGGTCTTATGATTAGATTCACTGCAAATATAAACTGGAAATTCTTGAGAATAAGTTGCTTGGACAGTATTGAGGATCAATATTTTGTGTTTATAATTCTTCTAGTCCTCCTTAGTTTGTGGCTGGTTTTTTTGTTTTGGTTGTTTGTTTGCGGGGAGGGAGGGAGAAAGGGAGGGAGGCATTTTACAATGTAGTTTTAAGAGTCTGCTGTGTGGCTCATGTGTAGGGGTGGGAATCCTTCTAGACTGCTGTCATTCCTTTGGGCAAGAGCTTCCTGCATTGTTTGCTGTTCTCCACTGAAGCCATAATTAACACCTGGGCTTTCGTTCGTTTGGGTCCCCTCAGATACACCTATGAGCGAATTGATGGGCGAGTACGGGGAAACCTGCGCCAGGCAGCCATCGACCGATTCTGTAAGCCAGACTCAGACCGCTTTGTCTTTCTTCTGTGCACCAGAGCGGGAGGCCTGGGGATCAATCTCACAGCTGCTGATACCTGCATCATATTTGATTCTGACTGGAACCCACAAAATGACTTGCAGGTAACCTTTAGGATGATTGCTGTTTACCTTAGCTCTCCTGAATCCCATAATACAGTGACAGGGTCTGACTTGGCTACAGATTGTTGGCCATGCTCTGTGTCGTGGTGTTAGCTTAGGGTCTTGGTCAGGGGATAAAACCTAATGAAAAGTAAATTTTGTTCTTCCCATTAACCGGAGAATGTTTTTGTCCTTTTGCTTTAAATTAGGTGGTGTTTCACATTGATGCCTCCATATATAGATCAGAACTACTACTATTATCAGACGTAAAGATATCTGGGATTTCCCTCTCTGTTTGTTAGTGGTCATATGTCAGATACAGTGAACATCCTAACCCAAAGAGACAGGAAAGTGCCGTGTGTGGCAGCAGTGGCAGGGGCAGCTGCACTCCACATTCCAGTCCATTTGCTCTGCACACTTCATACAGCATATTAGAGTTTATACGTGCCGAGTTAAGTGATTTTGCAGATTCTGTTTTCTCCTCTTAACCAAACTACATAATAGGACATTTAAATGATTACTGCACAAACACATTTTAAAAAGTAAAACGATAAGAAAATGGCAGAGCATGACTTGGAGTTCTTCATTAACCCTATTTCAGAGTAAAAACAATGATACTCTAATCAGATCGGGCAGTGGATAAGCCAAAAAATATTCTAACTTGTCAAGAAGACTATTTACAGCTTCACCCATTACTGCATCTGTACATTATTACATTAGCACATTATTACATTGGTACATTTTCAACCATTGTTAATAATGATGAACTTCATCCTTAGTGTGCATTGTATCTTGGGAGTTTGCTGGTACTAGAATTGTGAGTGGATTGGGGAAGGAAAGGAGCTGGCCCCAGGTATTTTTCATAGATTGATCAAAAGAAGTTAGAAGGCTGAGGCCTTATGTAACTCAAGAGGGAATATTGCAAGGGAGCGGGTGCAAGGAAGATGGCTCTGAGCTTCCTGTTATCTGAGCTTCTTCCTACCCACTCACTTCCATAGAGTTGTTTGGCTTTGCTTTTTCATTTAATGAGTTTCCAAATAAGGTACTGTTTAAAGAAAATGTTCCAGCACTCAGGAGGCTAAGGCAGGAGAATCACTTCAAGTTAAAGGCCAGCCTGGGCTACAAAGTGAGTTCGAGGCCAGCCTGAACTGCCTAATGAAACCCTATCTCAAAAAGAGAAAAAAAAAAAATTCTAGTAGTTAGTTGAAAAACCAGTGCTTTACATTATTAAATTGGTGACAGCTGGCTAAAATTCAGGAAAAGCATGGTAGTTACCATAAAGCAAATTGCATGGCACTGCCTTCAACATCCAGCTTCAGAGAAAACCTGTGATTATGAATAGTTCTCTATCAGTTCTTTCTCCTGGTGAAAGGATGGTAGGATGAAATAAGTTGCTAGATGTAATAAGTAAGCAGTTTTTAAAGGAGTAACATGTATTCAACACTCAAATAATAAGCAAAAGCTAACTACCAAGAACTGAATTAGGATAGTAATATAGATTAGGCTGTGGAAAAATACTTCTTTTTTCCCCACACTGCCTTTTTAAAAATAGTTTTATTGAGATACAGTCACATCCATTTAGGTATTTTCTCTAATCAATTTTATGTTACAAGAGTTGAATAGTTGGAATAGAAATCACATGTCCCCGAAACCTGAATTATTTACTATCAGGCCATTGACAGAAGTTTCCCAACTCCCAAACTGGTGATTTCTTAAATTCTCAGTAGCAGTGAACTTTCACATTCCCTGGTGATGCTTACTTCACCATGAGGCATAGTACAGTACCTAGGAGAATATTGTACAAGAAACGAAAGTCAAGAGCCAGTTTATAGCCGCGTGAGGAAGACATGCTCAGAGATATTTAGAAGAGAAATTTGAGGCATAATTATCAGAGGCCAAGATTTTGGAATCACCCACCTTCTCCTAAGTGAAGTGTAAACATTACCAGTAAAACAGATGCAATGCCAAGAAATAGGAAAAGTGAGAATGTCCAGTCCTTAAGAAGGAGGTGAAGTCATCTCAATCATTGAGTTGTATGAGTAGCGACCAGAGGAAATGGGTGGAGCTATCCAGAATTAAGATCTGGGGACAAGAGAGAAGCTTTAGAATTTTTAATATGTACTCTTCAGCTTGGCGTGGTTGCACACCCCTGTAAGCCTAGAACTTAGGAGGCTGAGAGGCAGGTGGATCACCATGTGTTTGAAACTAGCCCAGGCTGTACAGTGAGCTCAAGGCCAGCCTGAGCTACATAGTGAGACCCTGCCTTAAAAAAAAATGTACTGTCCAAGAACTGGTAAGTGATGGATTAAGGAAAAGCAGTGAAGTCCAAACTGTAATTGGATACAGTTTTTTTGTGTTTTTTTGTTTTGTTTTGTTTTGTTTTTTTACCAAAAAAAAGCTACAATGGGTGCTAAATGTATTTCTGAACTTTACCTAATGTTCAGTATGAGTGAAGCAGCAAAAAGACCAGCAGGACCTATGGTGCGGAGTGGCAGCTTGTGCCCTAAAGCCTATCAAAACCTTATTGAGTGAGGGATTCAATGATAATGGCAGTCCATGTCAGAATTAGAGTTAGAATTTTTCAACTTTTGGTCTTCCAGACTGGCTTCTCTGTTATTGATTCACTGGTTTCTGTTTTCTTGGTTATTATTGAGATTCTATAATTTAGAGGGAGTAGTTACCTTTTTTCTTTTAATTCTAAGCAGAGTGGGTAGAAGTAAAAGTAGGAAATATTATTTTAAGACAGGGAGTTGGATCAGTGGGTATTGAGGCATGGGATTTGTAGGCTATGAAGAAGGTCCAAGTTCTGAGTCTTAGAAAAGCGCATATTTTTCTCCTGGTGTCATTTAGTTGCTTGTGACACTTGCTCTCCCAAACAAGAAGTAACAAGTCCAGAGGTCAGTAACTCAGGGCCGGTGAGGTGCCTTCACAGCGTCATCAGGGTCCATGTTCCTTCTGCCCCTGTACCACCATCCGCAATATATAGTTTACATCCTCTTGGCTGCACCCCAGACATAAAGAAGGCAGGTAGGCAGGTGTGGTGCTTCTCATAGAAAAACAGAACTTTCTATAGATACTTCGATGGATTCTGCTACAGCATGTTGTCAGAACTGTGTGACCCCATCATCCTGAGGCCTGGAAGTGGTTTTAGTTGAAGACGTTGCTGGCCCTTGTGAAAGCTGGGTTCTGGGTGTGCACATGAAAGAGAGTGTAGGGAACACAAAGGTTATTAGCAGCGTCTGTGGTATTCTTCTGTCAGAACTTTGCTGAGAAGTCCGTTTTGGAATTTACCCTCAACCTATGTGAGCCAGGAAAAAAAAGTGTGTCAGTACTTAATGGCCACATGCTGTTATTGCCTTGTAGATCCCAGAAATCATACAACTGTATTTACCTGATCATTTTCTTTATCTGAATATACCGTTGAATGAAAGAAATTATATGGGAAAACTCTGTATTATGCCAGCATTTATCTAAATAGTTGTATGTCTGTCTGTCCCTTCCTCAACCCTACCAAGATTAATACCAAAACCACCCCCGCATGACCCTCTAATTTTAAATAGTTACCTCTGGAGAGAAGTAGGTAGCAGGGCGGTAACAAAATAGCCAGTTTTTCCAAATCCTGTACCTTTTCATGTGTTTGACTTAAGTATTTTACATTATTATTATACAAAATTAACTTCCTAAACTTTTTTAAAATTTGCAAATATATATTAGTTCCAGTATACTCCTCATCCAGCTTCTTTTGGTGTTAACATTTTATGTAACCATAATGTAGTTATTGCAACCAGAAAAATTAACATTGATACGATACTATTAACTGATCTACAGATATTACTTATATTCCTTCAGTTTCCCATAAATAATCTTTCTGGTCCAGGATCCAATCTAGGATTTCACATTCCGTTGAGATGTCGTGAGTCCTTAGCCTCCTCCAGTCTGTGACAGCATCTTTTCTTTATTTGTTTTATTTTTAAGGCAGGGTCTCACTATGAAGTTCTGGCAGGCCTTAAACTCACTGTGTAGCCCAGGCTAGCCTCAAACTCACGGCAGTCCTCCTACCTCAGCCTCCTGAGTGCCAGGACTACAAGTATACGCCAGCACACCCAGGTTGTGACAGCTTCTCTATCTTTTCTTCTCTTGTAGGACCTTGACACTTGAAGAATAATGATAAGTTGTTTTGTGGAATGCTTCTCTGTCTGTGTTGCTTGGTGTTTTCCCATAATTAGATTTGAGGGAATGCACTTCAAGCGTGAATATCAGAGAAGTGAAGGTGTGTTCTTTTCAGTCTATCTATCAGAAGGTACATGAAGTCAGTGTGTCTCATTACTTTGATGCGACTTTGAACACTTAGTGAAGGTGGTATCTGTCAGGTAACTCAGCAAAAAAGTAATCTTTACTTTTAAGAGTACTTTTAAAAATCAGTTGAGTCTTTCACCATACCACCCTGAACACACCTGATCACATCTAAAAATTAAGTCTAGTATTGTGCAAGTCGGTATTTTGAGATTTTATAAATATCCTATTTCTCATCATATTTTTTCACAGTACTATTAACATACCTCAGTGGTACTTGCCTTTAGTAATTATTACCTTCAGTAGTAATTATGGTGTTTAGCTAATGGTAATTTTCCATTTCTATCATTCTTCATTTATTAGTGGGAACTCTACTATGAAGAACAGTTAAGTTTTATCTCCCATTTGTTTACTTATGTTAGTATAAATTTGTGGGTTTTTGTTGTGATTTTTTTTTTTTTCCAATATTGGAGTTTGAGCCCAGGACCTCAGATATGCTAGGCAGGTGCTGTAGCACTGGACTACAGCCCCAGCTTTCATTTGGGGACATGGTCTTGTGAAGTTACCCAGGCTGACCGTAAACTTCTCTTGTTTTTGTTGCTTGTGGTGGTGGTGGTGCTTTGTAATAAAAGTTTCTCTATGATGCCCAGGCTAGCCTCGAACTCCCAGCCTCAGGTGATGCTCCTGCCTCAGTCTCTTGAGTAGCTGGG